ATAAATGGGGGTCCGGGAATCAGAGGCAGCGGCACGAAATTTTTAAATCCAGACCCTCTGAAACGCTATTTCCTGCATTTTGAGGGGCAAATTTTGCTGACACAAAGGGTTTCAGCTTGATTTTGAAAGGGCGACGCCCCAAAAAAATTTTTTGAGGGGGCGACCGCCCCTCTGCCCCCTGTGCCACCACCACTGAATATGGTGTTTTGCTTATTAAACATCTGTGAAATATTTGGTTAGTTATTTGTGTCCATGTAATTCTAAGACCCCACTCTGTTCGCTTTGTTTTGTGCACCAATATTTATTTGTAAAACCTGTTTTGACAGTGTATTTTAATGTGCCTTGTATTGACATGGACAAATTATCCTTAAAGTATTTCATGGAAAATAGTATGAACACACCAAGATAATAACAGCATACCTCCATACTGAGCAACGTGTTAGTAGAACTGAATGAAACTAATCTAAGTAATAATTAGGAATCGTACCATATTTCCTGGAATATTATAATTACAGATGTTAAACAAGCTTTCTCTTTTTGAAGATTTTGACGAATGTTCGGAAGGCCATGCTGACGACAATTCAGCTACGTTCTGTGAACAAGGATGTGAAAATACACTGTTGAGTTACCTATGTCGATGTTATGAGGGGTATCGTTTAAATGAAGACAAGAAATCATGTGACGGTGAGTTCAACAAATAATTTTATACTATAACATTGTTAAATGTTTTTAGCTTCTCTGTCATTGTAGGCAGATGACGTAGATGACAGAGCGGAGTTGTTCATATAAATGATTTCAGCCGTCTGTCCGTCGTCCTTCAATAATTACATTTTTACTTCTTCTTAAAAACTACCAGCTCAATTGCTTTCATATTTGATATGTAGGTACCTTGGGTGGTCCTCTGTCAGATTTATTCTATTCGTGGCGATATCTTCACTTTTATGTTTGTGTTTATCAAATAATTTTGTCTTTCTTTTAGGTCGTTTGTTTTTAATGAATATTTTGTTATATCTATTTTTTT